ACAGTTTTGCGGGAAGTTGATTTCCTCTTCGTGCAATGACGCGTCCAACGACAGTGTCTGCACACCCTTGAAAAGGGTGAAGTCTTTCAGTGAACAAATACATGCATTACTGCTCGTCTTATACCATGAAGTCCCTCCCCATGTCCGGGGCTTACATGATACTGAATGTTCAAACTGCATTTTCGAGCGATCCCAGAACTGGTTGTCAAAAGCCTAATCCGACCAGCATAGCCCAAATATGTTATTCTCTTTTGACATCGAGGACTAGTCTGTTTCTCCTAACCTCCGGAATTCTGTCACTTCATTCACGAAAGAGACTTTTTCGTTAAAATCTTGCGTGCTTTCTGCGGCAGAACACAACATGTTTGTTAAGCCTGACCGACTTCTTCTTCTTCTTCTTCTTCTTCTTCTTCTTCTTCTTCTTCTTCCTCCTCCTCCTCATTCTTCATCATCTTCCTCTTCTTCCTTTTCCTTCTCATCTTCTTCTTCCTTCTCCTTTTCTTCCCTCTTCTTCTTCTTCTTCTTCTTCTTCTTCTTCTTCCTCCTCCTCCTCTTCTCCTCTTTTATCGTATACTTCGCTTTCCTCTTCTCTCCATCGCCTTCGTCCGCATGCGCCCTTCCTTCCTCCTGTTTTCCACTTCTGTAATGACAAATGGATTTGCGCGCAGATACCGCCTGACAGGTTGATTTCAGTTACTGGGCCAAGAGTGAAATTTTCCTGACCTCTGCCGGCAATATATTTCAGCCTCGACTTATCTATGGTCAGACCGACTAACTGACTCTCTGATTGATGGGTGCCTAATGATTACCAATTGAGATAGCGGTAACAAATGTGATGTCTGCGCATACATCAGTCGGGCGCGCGGTAACACTCCCGGAGGTAGGGGCGGGGGGCTCGTATCCCCCAAATGGCCAGATCACCTGGCTAGAACGGATGACTACGAGATAAAGCCAACTTAGGTCTGAGTTCTGTTCACTGACCAAGTAATATCACATTTACTTACGCTCGTCAAAGCGTTGTAACCTCTCTTCTCACCACGGGAAAAGGGACAGGTTGAATAGTGTCCTTTTTGTCTAGGTCGCAGATCTGAGTATCCACAGGAGTAAGTTTATTAAAGAGGAATTTTAGTCTCAAGTAGCACTCCTCTGTAAAGTCTAGTGGCTCTTCAAAGCATGTTAAGTGCTGGCATTTAGGTGGACATTCTTTGTGCTGAACAATTCATTGTATAGGAAATCGGTATAGAAGACAGGCAGCGCTTTTGGTCGTTTGTTTTTGCATTTGGAAGGTGAGATTATAATCACCACAGTTCTCATCCTGCCACGTTTGCAACACAAGCCAGAGTGGTGTTCTTAGGTGCGAGTGGCATTCACAGTGACATTAAAATTACATCACATCTTCATTGATTTCTAAAGTCATCTGATTCTCTGTGCGCCTTCATGTTGGAACTGCCTATACAAGTCTACCCGGATTGCAGAACGAACTACGGCAAATATATGTTTGTTTCAAAGATCTAGTGTAGAGTCCTCGTGAGCGGTCACATGTTGATGCTGCTCCGTACTGAAATGCCCGTTAGCACAAAGTCCGGATTCAAACCCTAGTCCTTCCGGCTCGGGGTGATGATGATGATGATGATGATGATGATGATGATGATGATGATGATGATGATGATGATGATGATGATGATGATGATGATGATGATGATGATGATGATGATGATGATGATGATGATGATGATGATGATGATGATGATGATGATGATGATGATGATGATGACAGCTAATACTCAAGAGGGGGTCATTTCGGCCAGTCTCTCATCTGTTGGTAATAATCCGTTAAGGACCGGCTTACTGACATGTGTTCGATCTGCTCTGATTTGCAATAATCTCAAAATGTTTCCATTAAGGACTTAAATGGGTAGTGCATGCCCGTGCTCGACTCAGGCGGCGTGAACAAAATATGGTATGACACCGATACCTGCCGGATAGAATTATCTCACCCCGATCTGGATTCTTCGCTGGTTTGTTTATCCCTTCTGCCTCCAGAACGCGGTATGCTTGTCTTATATTTATACCCCTGAACGAGGACAAACTGAAATGTTTTTAGAGGAGCGCTCACTGATCGTGTTACGAAACTCACTCGTCCCGTTGTGCCTTAGATCTCTCTCTCTCTCTCTCGAGCCCGATCAGCAGCCACACAGTGGCGCATAGTATAGGCTGCGAGGTTGCCTATTACGCCATTGTTAAAATATCTGATCGCGACGGATAGGACAACGAGCCCGTGCCTCAGGGGTTCGGGCGTGGGAATTCTAATCAACTAAAAGCAGGTCGGAGCCACAAGGTTTGCAAACCTCATGATTGGGTGTGGAGGGCTGATTACTGCAGATACGCCAGAAATGGCCATTGCAGTCTCCCTTGTCCTTTTCCAGTAATGCACCCTACCTCCTGTAGTCCTACTGATTGCCTATTTAGTTACCATGAACGACCGGGTAAGTATTTCCTGCTGATTAAAGCTGCTATTCAAACAGCTTAAACCTGCCTGGGTTCGTAAAGTATAGCTCCCGTAGCATACACGAACTGCATCGATTCGTGTTCAGCCCCCAATGTGCCGTGGAGGATGCTCGAACCTCGCGTTTAACCTCTGTTTTCTTTTTGTGCTCAGGCAGAGAAAAATGATGGATGCCTCTTGAGATCCCCTGCGAATTCGGACTCCAATGCCCACGTTATTAAGCCAAACGGGAAGGTTTGTGGGAACGAACAGAGGGGGGAGAGGTGTGGTCAGACGGTGTTGGAAGGGGGGGGGGTGAGGGAGCGAGAACAAATACTGCTGATCATAAGAATCTAAAACACTCCTCCCGCTCCCACCTCCCCCCGGCGCAGCCCGACAATGGCTGGTTGGATCCACGTGACCTTTCATCGTGCACGTGTTCACATTAGCACGCTTCTGGGAAATTACGGAGACGACGTCCACATAATACCTGGTCTGTTTGATTTCAAACCCTGACTTGGTGTTAATCTGAGGTCGGGGAAAGAAGGCTGCTCTAACAGCGTGTCACAAATAACACTCAAGTTCACCAGCGTCACGTGACTGCGGTGTTTCCGCTCAGACCTTGTTTCAGGGCACTTTCGAGCGAAGATTTCCCGGGCGATTATGTGGAGACCAGCGGTCAAGGAAGGAAAGTTTTCCGTGTAGTTGACAAGAGGGCTGTGTGCTGGTAATTATCTCAGCTCCACTTATCTGCTGTTATAAGAAACGACAACTGATTTCGGTGTAGTCCCCACGTAAAACGTTCTTAAGGACTGCTTAGTAGACTATGCATCTACTCTGTAATGTCATCATCCTCTGCGCAATTCACCCTGGTGAGAGAATCTTCCATGTTAGTAAGCTTGTCTCATTCTTCTGGTCCTCAGTTGATTTAAAAGGCAACCCTAATCACTTTCAGAATGCGCTGTTCTTCCATCACAATTGGACAAACAATGGATGGTGCTCAAAGAACATTGGGGACTTGTGGCCGACTTTGTCAAGATGGACGAATTAATTTATGTTTGGGGTAATCAGAATTCCATCTTTAAACCCGAAACATGTGCCTTGGACACTGAAATTTAGTCAACTTAGTTTCCACCTTCTGATAATTAAGAATTTTGTGTGGCTTGGTCACCACTGGTTTGCTTGGCCAGCCCCCCAACATGCGCAATAACCCTGCGACAAACCTATCTGACCCATCCCATGCGCTGATTGGGTCGCCCAGCTTGGCCAGGCAACCAATCGTCTCTTGGGGAATTTTATAGGCGTGACAGACCTCGCATTGTGATTGGCCGAAGACATCTAGCCGCGCTTTTCACGGCCTACTGGTCTATATAAGGGTCTCTCGTCCGACCGAAGACATCACTTCTTCTTCGCACGAACCCTCTTGCAGCACGCTTGGTGGTGTTTTTGTCTACTGAAGTCTCATGTGAGTCCCGGTTTATGCATAGATAATTTGAATTCTTGCTTCTAATGAATTCGAGATTTACGGACATTTATTTTCTTTCTATTCCAGGGCTCTCAATCTAGTTTTGCCCACAGTTGGCCACCAGCCAACAATCGGGAATCCACCGAACCTTTCTCTAGAACGCCTACTTCAGGCTGCGGCCTTAGTGACCGCAGATTCCTCCAAGATAATCGGCTGTCTTCCACGCATCCAGCTACCTCGACAGGTGGTAAACACCTCAACGGCCAGTCTCCCTCTAACCTTTGGCCTGCCGCTGTTACGACCCAGGCTGAATCAGTGTTCACCGACGCCTAGCCCTCCTGTGGACACAAATCCACCCCAAACTGACCGCCTCACATCAATCCTCACGGCTGCTGTGCGTCTTGCCGTCTCCAGTTTTATGGGCAAGCCTGAGGTACCCATCCAGGGCAAACTGATGGTCCAGCTCGGTTCGTCTGATCATCTGACACTTTCTTTCAATGATGAACCGCATCTCGCCTCGCCAGTCCGCAGTGATAGCAATCCATCGCAGGAGTTTGTGCAAACCGCTGCACACGAAACTACCACATCCTCCAGACGAAAATCCTACCACCCCACGAAGCTGGTCTGTCCGGGAGGGGAGGAGTCGGAACCTGTCCAGCCCAGCTCCGACTCTGGCCGCGCCAGTCCTTCAGTTGATTCCGGTGCTCTCGATTTGTCCCGAGCCGGTTCTCTCTCAGACTCCGCCCCAATGACACCGTCCAAGGAGTCCTGTTACAGCCCCCCTCATGCCTACCTCCTGGATGCACACAGTCACTGGCTACAGACACCGGCTGCGAACGTGACCCAAAACGCCCCCCTGCTCCTGCCTCGCCAGAAAGATGGACCTGCGCGTTGCCCCAGAATCCGCCCCGCCGTGGGTCGGCGAAGCAGCCTCTCACGAAGGTTTCCCTGCAACCAGTGTCGAGACGAATTCTTCTCCCTGAATGCCCTCGAACAGCACACCCTGGCATGCCATGGCACCTACAAGTGTCACATCTGCAGGGCCGACTTCACTCAGCGCTCCAACCTCCAGCGCCATGCTCTGAAACACATCGGTTTCAAGCCCTTTGAGTGTCGTGTCTGCGTGAAGGCCTACTACCGGAAGGACCACCTAATGCGTCACATGGAGATGGTGCATCCGGGCTTTGCGCCGCGCGAGAACATCACAGTGCATCTGACCTCTTCCGAGAGTCTGGATTACTTGGACAAAAACCGGATTTCCGCTGAGCTGCCTCGTGCATCCGAAGACGGGCAGGCCGCGCACGATGGGGAAGCCAGGACGGCTGAGGCTGAGGCTCTGGTGGGAGCCAGCGAGAGAACAGTGGCGCGGACACAGGATGGAGAGGCAAGTACGATGGAGTGTGATGAGCACGACAACTCTGAGGATGCCGAAAGGAGCCCTTAATTTTACCTCTACTTATGCCCTTATGTCAACTACGGCTGTGGTGAACTGTACGTAATTAACCTGTAAATATCTTTTCTATTCGAACAAGGGTGTTTTTCCCTGGGGAAGGGGGGGGGAGTGGTGGACGGAATTATGATCATACAGTTGGGCAAAGGGGGGGGAGGGTGGAACGACCTTTGTTCTCGGCTTCTCAGTAAAGGCCACACTTTGGCTCCAAAACGTGGACAAGGGGAGCTGTTGAGCATTTACCAAAGGTCGCGTGTGGGGGGAGTAAGCACACAATACCCCTGTAGGAGGTGGGGGGGGAGGGGGGGAGGGAGTTCTGAGCTAAGTACACGATAACTAGAGTTTGACTGTCACGGTGTGGTGGAAAGATGGATTCATTGTTCGTTATCATAAAAGGGGAGGGGGGTGGGCCAGCGACTGTTGCTTGCAGTGAATTTCATCTCTACGACAAGTTGGGTCTTTTTGGGTGATGAATCAGGCCAAAAATGGGGTCCTGCCAATAGGGGAAAAGGCGTCACCTGTGCTGATGGGTTCGACAGAAGCGAACGATGTTAACATTCTCAAGCCGCGTCCACGCTCTTAAAGTCTTTATTACCCTGAGAAGGTGCATGATGATTTTACAAGACAGGGAAAAGTTACCACCATGTTCGGGGACTGTCGAAAAACTATCGGTTTATGCGCCAATCAATGATGTAAATAAGGGGGCGACCAGATATACTTGTTTTTAATTAGTAGAAGCGGATTGACACTAAGAAAAAATGATGTAACAAATTTCACTTGGACCCCAGTTTCCTGCATTTATACGGTTCGCTGTAACGAGTAAGGTCACATCCACATTCGGTCCCATCTAACTTTTGACGCCGAACCCTTGGACGGAGAGAATTCTTGTCAGCCGCATTTCGCTGGGACTTGTAGAACGGAACCCACCTAAGGGGCGGATCAAGGTCCGAGGCGGGGACATGGGCTGATACTCTGCCACAGGAGCTCATAACTGTTCATATCCCGAAGAGGGATACACGATCGCTGGGACAAGAGCCTTATTCGCCCGACTTTTCGGATCCCTGCTCGAAACCACCATCATAGACATAAGCAGATACAGGTGGTTCATGCACAAGGAGCTGCAGCATTTATAGGTTGCAGTCGGCATGCTACCGCATACCTATGAATATTCACGCCCCCCCCCCCCTTATCGGGGATTGTTGCACTTGGTGTAATGATTGTTTGATGGTTGACATTCGCATCGTTAATTGCAGCAATTTCATCACGTGCGTTGGATGTTGGTGTGATGATTGCTCGACCATCTGACCCACCGACCCTGGCGTTGGGAAAAGTGTTCACCTGTGCGCCCCCTGCGTGGACAATTACTCCGCCTAGGCGAAGTCTCAGCACTGAGCATAGAAGGGGAAGATCATTGCACTTGTTAATAGACTGGTGGCCAGTAAACCATGACTAAAGCAGCTCCCGGCTAACGCGGTTGTCACCTCTTGCGAGAATTTCGGTCTCGTCGAATTTCAATGTGTGGCCGGATCTCGTCGAATGAGCGGCAACTTGGGAGCTGGCGTCATTTCTCCGCACCGCTGCAGCGCGTTCAGTCATTCGCGTTAGGAGCTGTCTTCCGGTTTCTCCGACGTAGTTGCTTTGTCCGCAACTGCAATAGATCCGATAAACGACTCCAGACGTTTCTTGTCTTGGCAGCGGGTCTTTCGGTTTCATTACCTGACGCCTGATGATCGCCTCTGGTCTTTGTACAACTCCAGCCCCAAGTGGTGCGGGAAGGCGGCCGACGGCTTCGAAACGTTCTTGATATAGGGAAGCGTTCGCCAAAATTTGGTGTCCGTGCGGTTAGGCCTTTCGTCCCTTTTGCGTATGCACTGGTGGGCGAAGTTGCGCGGGTAGCCATTGGTTTTGAAGACCGATCGGAGGAATTTTAGTGACGTAAATGGTAATGTTCTCACGAACTAACGAGTTATATCTCACGAACCCCTAGCCTTAAAGGCAGCAAGTAAAACTGAGCAGTGAATAATATAGATATTTCGAACGTTAAGTAACCTGACAACAGAGCGCGACAGCAAAGCAAGGCGGGTTGTACAGGTGTGTTGTTTTTCGTCACATTCAAACACGCAATCCTGGCAAAGAAAACGGGACTAAATTGTCAAAGGTAAATTATTCCAATACCTCACCACACTACCGGCATACTAGACCGGAGGGCGACGTAATAGGGCGCCGGAGGATATGCATAAGTCTAGAAAAAATGCATAAATAAGCGATTGGGGAGATGAACGTGACGTTTGAATGGCGACCGTCCAGAGTTTCCTCCGCACAGGACCGAGCTTTTTGTTGGTCGACTACCTGTAGGTGGTCTCGATTTAATGTGGACAATCTGCCTGGGGAACTCCCAGGCAAATATCACCTCACTTTACCCCTGTAGCATTCGCGACATACAGACTCACGACTTCGTATAGACCAGTAACTCTGGCTGAGACTTCATCGAGTAAACCTACAGAGTTGTTGCTGAATGCTCGCATCTGCTAATTAGTTAGACATAACAACTCCAATCGCATCCAGTTCGACCCTTCTACTTGTTGAATTCACCTCGAATTTGGAAATGGCCGCCAGTTCGAGTCCGTATCTAGCCGGATTAACTAATGGCAGCGCGCGCATTTCATGCAGGGACGCACGTCAAGATTCCAATCATATACCAACCTTGAGAAGATTCGAGACAACAATAGGGTGAAGAACTCCGACTAGCTGTCGGTAGACTGTGGATCGTGTCATACGGGAATGGTGGATTTAGGGGTGGAACAGCACGCCGAACAGTAAGATAATGGAATTCAGGAAAAAAATGGTATATTTCAAGTAAAATGATGAATGTATGCAGCTACAGTATCCAGCTGGATATTCCATGGCGTTCTAACTTGAAAGACTGTCTGACCATTGACCAGCTGAGCCTATACCCTGTCAAACATTTCTGTACTCGGCAGTATGGTATTACCGACAAAGTCAAGGAAGACTGGAATGGCCATTTCTGGCTTATTAGTCGTCCCCAGCCAGTCATACCCAAACCCGAAGTGTGGAACACCCGAGGCTCGAATTCGAGAGAGGGAGAGAGAGAGAGAGAGAGAGCCCGTAAGGCACAACGGAACGAGTGAGTTCCGTAAGAACGATCGGTGAGCGGCCCCTACCATTGTATATTCCCGATCGAAACTGACAGGGCAACGGGCTCGTGGCCCAGTGGTTAGAGAGGTGGACTTCTAACAAACAGGTCACGAGTTCGAGCCTCGGGTGTTCCACACTTCGGGGTCGGGTATGACTGGCTGACGACGGCTAATAAACCAGAAATGGCCATTCCAGTCTCCCTTGTCTTTGTTGGTAGCATCATTCCGCCTATATCATGCGTCGTTGTGCGACTGCTAGTTGGGCCCGAGACTGAGCCCGTAGGCACAACGGAACAAGTGAGTTCCAGAAGAACGATCGGCGAGCGTCCCCTACCATTTCTGTAATCCCTAAATTAATGCCCGGTTAATGCCCGTTCTTTGTTTTTTCCGCTCTTGGGTACAACTGTCAGTATTTAACTATAAGGCGCAAGTGCATACATCAGGGCAGGATCCACAGTCTATGGACGACTATTTGGGGTCCTTTACCCTACCGTTGCCCGCAAATGTTCTACTTCCACTTAGAAGGCGATGCAGTGGGAAGCGACCAGACGGGAACGTGTGGCATCAGAAGAGGACACAAAGGCGGATAAATGATGCTGTCTAGAGCCCCCGATGGGGGAGGGGGTGGCCTGGAGTACTGTTTCAGGGTGAGGGAGAGCCGTGAGTAGCTAGAAGGTCCTCAAGGACGTCTGAACTGAGGACCGTGCGCAGTGGAGATCTTTTCCCAGTCAGGCATGCAGACCTAGCAACTGGGTTGCAGTAATGTGAGCGTTTTCCCGAAATGCAACGCACTGCGGCACGCTTACGCAGCAGCAACAGGCGGACAAACTTAACGCCAGTAACCCGATACGCCAGGAGGAGGAGGAGGAGGCCTGCCTCCCAGGGCGGGGAAACTGACCCAGAACTCGGACAGCACTTCCACCGCCCAAGGCCGGAGGGACCCAAAACTGGTTTCCGGCAGAGCAGACGGTTAGTCATCCAGTCGCCAGCCAGACAGCCTGCCCAACTTCCCTGTTGCTCAGGCAGACAAGGGTGTTTCGATGCGTGACCCGTCGCCGCGGCGCGCCGGGGCTTCCTACCCATTTAGATGTGAGTATACAACCCTGATAACATTGACATGCCAATTGTAATTAGAATCCGGGTGAGGGACCCCAATTAGCTGTCCATAGACTGTAGATCCTGTCCTGATGTGTGTGTGTGTGTGCTTTCGCCATACAGTTAAGAACTGATGACTGGTATTTGTACCCGAGAGTGGAGAGACAGGTAAACACTTCTCCCAACACCAGGGTCGGTGCGTCAGATGGTCGAGCAATCATCACGCCAACATCCAACGCACGTGATAAAATTGCAGCAATTATCGACTCGAATGTCGGCCATCAAGCAATGATCACACCAAGTGCGACGATCCCGGATGAAGGGAGGAGCCGTGAATGTTCATAGGTATGCGCTAGCATGGCTACTGGGGCACTTCACCCAACCGTTGCCAGTTGGCGAGTTAGATGTAAAGTTCGTCCCCGTTTTCGGCCACTCAACTGTTCTCTTCTATAATCTTTTAGCATGCCAGGGGCCCGTGACTGGACGGTAGAGCATGAGACGCAACCACCGATGACCGAATCCAGAGGTCTGGGGTCGAGCATGGCCAGGAATTTTTATCCCAAATCGCTCCTGTCTTTCTCAGTACTCTTAATACAGAAGTCCATACCCTCTTTCGTAGAAGTCGGATGTGTTGTTTAGGGGCTGCGTAGTTGTGGAGCTCTGTCAGCTACGGTGTCCACTCAGTTGACTGATCGGTTCGGACTGGTGCTTTGGAGAGGGAAGAGAAAATGAGGTCGACGGTCG